ATCATCATCATCATCATCATCATCATCATCATCATCATCATCATCATCATCATCATCCATTGTTACTGGTAGTAGGATGGACCCAAACTAGTACGTACCCAAACTATAGTAGGGGGACACTTTGATCACCAACTGAAGGCTCACTGCCGCATACTGCTCAGTTGGGGAGGCGATTCTTAAGCTTGTTGGGGCATGCCATGGGGAAAATAATGACGAAGTGTTGCTTGGTGCTACGTTGTCAATATTGCGGGGTCTATATAAAGGTCAAAAGTTTGGTTTGCTGTTACTGTTGCTCTGTGAGCATTGATGCATACCCCTTTGGTTTGCCGACGGTGAGGTCCTTGGACACCTTGCGCATCAAGTCTGGCGCCGAAACTCGGCACCTGAGCCTCAACGAGGTGGAGAAGGTCCTTCAAGGAGCTGGGTTGGCATGGTTGCAACATGTTCCAACCGCGGAATACCCCTTTTGATGCTTTCAGAACTTTCCAGTTGGCGCTATCAAGAAATCTCTCTGACTTGACAGAGTAATTAAACTCTTCAAACGGCTTCTCAGCCTCAGCAGCAACCTTAGGCTTTCCATGTCCCAGCCTTGCTCGATCCATGTAATCCCATCATCCAGAACTCCTCCGTCGACCTCCGGTCAGAAGCGACAGCTCCACAAATTGTTCAGGAGCTCCAGAGGAATTGAGTGACCTGGAAACTCCCTTAGACGAGGCATGTGTGACTTGGTATGCCAGGCCATGCACACAGCCAGGCGCTGTTGCACAAGGCCAATGAGCTTCGCATGTTGTGTGCATGGATGTATCTTTATTGTGGATAGAGAGTTTGTTTTGACAAATTCACTCTATGGGTATGTAGGGGCCGAAATGAACGTATAAACGTATATATGGTTACTTTAGATGCTTTTGGCGAAGGACTCACAATCGGCAACCCTTCTTACGAAAGTTTCTTCCTGACTCAACGGATTCATTGTGCATTCCAGAGCACGAGGTCTTGTGTGGTACCTGGTGCCACTGCCTTTAATCTTTAGGCAGTATTGAGTGCAGTCGCGAGATCAGATCTCGGGATGTTCAATATGCATCCCAAAGTGGAGAGTTGGGACAAACATCGCAGCAAACTGCCAAGGCCACTCTGGTGCTTCAGAATGAGTGCATCTCTTTTAAGTTTATGGAGCAGGAGAAAGCTGAGCTCTTCACCCTGTGCCTGAATTTGTTCATAGATGGCCTCAGAAAGAAGCAAGATGCGTAGCATACAAATGGCAACGAGTATTAGTATTGGCCGAAAGTGTCAATGAAACATATGTGTGAGCTCTCCAAAGGAGTACTTGCATCGAAAAGCAATCATAGTGTGGTGGGTGTGTGCACTGTGGCTTCCCTGCTTTCAGGTATCCGCTTTTTTTGGTGTTTCTGTTGGGGGTTCTCCAAACTGTAGTTGCTTCAATTGAAGTTTTTGTGGACTCCAGGCTTGATGTGCGCCATTGTTGCAATCTTTAGTCCTTGAGCAATACCCTGGCATACCAACTCCCAATGCCACGTCACTGATTGCGTTAGCTAGACGCTTGAAGCTGGAGATGCCAAGGAAGTATCGAGGCTACATCCTTTGTGAATCCAAAGCTGGTTCCGCAGATGGCTCCTTTGCTGCAAAAGCATGCAACAATGCAGCTTTGAATCTTTTTCTCGGGGCAAGTTCAGATTCATGAATGAAATCATTAAAGCCCGTAGGCCTCTACCATTTGGGGTTTGAGTCTGTCGCCGGTGTTGGAAAGCCGTGTGAAGCCGTTTGGACCTTTGAAGCAGCATGGATGCACGACCCCCATGCCAAGGATTTGACAGAGGTGAGGAGTATTCAGTATAGCGTCCTCTTGTTCCTAGTAGTAAGGCCAGGAGCTACTAGCTTCTTGCTCCTAGTAGCGATGCCCTTTGCTACTATCATTGTACCAAGGTAGATGTTTTGGGGAGAATCTCACAGTGACTTATTGTTAAGTTGATTCTGTCGCAAGCCTTGCGGCCGCTTTGAGGCAGATGCTTCTAATGTATTGCAGTCTTGCTGACGTCTCAGAGGGCCAGGGCGGCCAGAGGGTAGCACTCTCACCAACAGGTTGAAACAATCACTCCTCTGTGGAACTGTTTGACCTTTGTTGTCTCATTTGCAACCGGCGTAATCTTGCAAGACGATAGGGGACCACCCAAAAATGGAGTCCTTCCAATGAACACTTTAGCAATTGCCCAATTCCGTAAACTGAGGGAGCACCAAGCCTGAAGATGTCCTTGGGCCCTGCAGTATATAATTATATATCACGAAAGCTAGCATCAGCTAGCTGGAGTTGCTCTTGCTTTAGCAAGTCAAGGGCTCGCAGCCTCGAGAATCATGAATCACGTGAAAACTTCACGTGTAGGGGCCCCCCCCCCCCCCCCGCGGGTTCAACTCCCCCCTGGGACGCTTCCGGAACGTGCTATAGTGCTATGTTTAGGTGGCAGGTGAAGTAGGCCACTGTTTGAGTTTGGAAGGGGGGGCATGAAACATGAAATTTACGCGAGGGTTTAAGGCTTCAATGATGAGCATCACGGGAAGTCAGAAACCAGGCGTATCAGATACACGTGCCTTTGAGCTTCCTTCGGCATCTCAGTGCATATGGCTGACACTTCACTCGACAAAGATGCTCAAACAAACATACATAAACCAGGTGTATCTGATACGCCTGGTTTGTGACTTCCCGTGATGCTCATGATGCTGCGTTGCTTTTCTTCAGTCCCTCATTACACATACATGACGATCCAACGGCAGATTCAACAAGCTCACATGTTCATGACATCGACATCGATAGAAGAAACCAAACAAATCATGCAAGCAGCTTTGTTTTGCCTCTGGGACACCTCTTGGGCACCTCTTATGGCATCCACACTGGTTCAACTCCTCCGTGGAGGCTTTGGGATACAATGCAACAGATTCAACAAGCTCACAGGTTCGTGAACACATCGGATGCATCGAACAGTGTGGCAAAGTCCAGCCACGCTTCCTTAATTATCGGGGACTTCAATTCTAAGGTTGGCTGTGTCATTGCTGTTTGTGTGTCTTACATGTTCACAATGTTTTACCTCATGAGCATTTGCCTCACTCCGCTTGATGTCCCACCAGTCCGGATGCACCCCTGCTAGCTTTCGTCACCTACCCTCGGCCTCAAGTATATACATGTTCTTGTTGGCACAATTCTCTCCATATGTTGCACACATGTTCTGTGTCATCATGTCATCACTAGTTTGGGAGTAGACTACTTGGTATTGCGCCGTGGCGCAAAATGAGCATTGTCTTTGGTATTCTGCAAAATGTTAATGGCGCTGTAACGCCGTGCGCGTTTTCACTACGTTCTCAATAATTAGAAAAACTACTTGTTTGTCATCATAAGTGCACTCATCCTTTTCCTCTTCTCTTTCAGCGAATCTTCTTTGCCATTAATTTAGCCAAGCTCATTCAACAAGTCATTTGGCGTACAAGGTCCAAGAAATCTTCCCACCTGTGCTGCATCAGAAACTTGATGTTCTGGCCAAGTTTTTAGGAACGTGAACATGTGCCACGGTGGGTGCAAGAAGCATGAAAAGAAGTAGATAGCACAGCCTAGCAAGAAAGAGTATCTACAGTAATGGATTATACAATGGGTGTGCCCTTAGAAGCGAACGTGAACATCTCCACCCATCCCCACCCCACTCAAAGTCAGCAGCGTAGCGTAGAAGAGTGTTTAATGGATTGTACAATGGGCGTGCACTTGGCGAAGGTGAACATCCCCACCCACACAGCTACCAACCGAGGTGGGTAGCGTAGTGTAGAAGTGGTAGGCCCGAGGTATGCAATTTATGGTGTAATAGAAGCCAGGGACCGATGAACACGTGTATTGGAAAGAGAAGAACATGCAAGAAAAGACATTGATAAACACAAAAAAAAACATAGTGAGAAAACCGCGCGGCGTGGCAGGGGTAAAGGTCCCAGTGTGTGGCCTTTGCTGATATCGGAGTTAGTGAACTTCAGTTCTTGGTTAACCGTTCACCTTTTGTGGAACCTTGATCAACCCACTCGTTGTCCCACGGGGCGTGTTAAAGCATATTATGTTTTGTTCTAGACTCTAGAACCTGTTTAGCTGTTCTGTTTCTTTGCTTGTTGACATTTCAGCTCTCCATTGCATATTCTGTTTGGTTCGTGTTGCCAACATCGTTCATCGCGCTGGACATTCCCGCTCAGAGGCCTGGAGGAGCACCCGAAACTGGCTTTTCCAGTGCTGGTGCCCAATGCCAAGGGCCTCCAGGAGAGCTCCGAGCTTTTTTTTGGACATCAACCATGCACCATTCGCAGATTTGATGTCGCGCCCACAACATGATCATCATTCGTTTGTTTAGCACCATGACTACAGCTGGGTGCATGGACTTCTGCAGTCAGGATAGGACTCTTCCAGACGCACTGTCGGCTTTCGGGTTCATGTATGCATTAATTTATATTAATTTATCATTCTGTCCGGTCAGGCTGCACTAGATGCCGGTGCCAAAGAGGCACCAAGTGAAACCTGGATCAGGAGGGACTGGAAGAAGTTTGTTGCTTCACCGTACGCCGGAGAGAAGCACACTTTGTATTAAATGTTAAATTTTGTGAGGGTCGGCTTCAGGGTGATTAGGTTCAAATAGACGTTCCACTGGTCCACACTGCTCACCTGAACCTTTCTGACAATGAGATTGTTTAAAAGACAGGGGTTGAACGCCTCTCAGTCTGTTGTTGAAAAACGCTTGCAGCGCTGGAGTTTCGGTTCTTGGCGATGTCAATGGTCCATGGAAGCTTGGCACTTATATAATAGCAAAAGATGCCGGGTATGCTTCAAGCAGCTGGCAACATCCGTTGATGTTTAAAAGTCACTATCAAAAAAGCGGAAGATTGTTGCCCGAATGTGCCAGATAATCTTGAGCTGTGCTTGTCTAAGGCCGACGCCTCGTTTCGGAACCTGGATTCGTCTCGTTTCAGAACCTGGATTCGTCTTGTTTCGGAACGCGGGTGAAATGGTCTCCCGAGGCTAGGAAGTGGTTTCTGGGAAGTGGTTTCTGGGAAGTGGTTTCTGGGAAGTTGTTTCTGGCAAGTGGTTTCTGGGAAGTGGTTTCTGGGAAGTGGTTTCTGGGAAGTGGTTTCTGGGAAGTGGCTTCCGGGAAGTGGTTTCTGGGGGTTGGTTTCTGGGAAGTGGTTTCTGGGAAGTGGTTTCTGGGGGCTGGTTTCTGGGAAGTGGTTTCTGGGAAGTGGTTTCTGGGAAGTGGTT